TAGGACTCTACCAAAATCTTCCTTGATATAGGACTTAATGCCACCCACATTCGTCCCACGTGCTTCTACTAAAGCGTATCTATTGCTTAACAGCATATTGGTGACTGTCAATTGGAACAGACTTTTGAGCTCGATATTTGCTGCCTTTTTCTAAATCATAATTAGTAACCTCTGAAAAGACGAACGGACTTTTCTAGAACAATCACAAATGACCAGATCGACGAAATTTCCACAAATTGATTACTTTATTACTAAAGTAAGTAAAAAAGTGCATAAACTATATCCTCGATTCTATGAAATATTCATTAATAATGAGTGGATCGTATACGATGCGATAGCAGAGACAGGCGCCTGATGTGGAGAAAGAATTGTCCATAATGCATAGTTTTAATGCCGAAAAGATCTGTCGAACCTAACAAATTTTCTGTAGCCTGTTATGGCGGCATTCGATTTTTTGGGAATATCTATAACTTCGCCGATGTGACGGCATTCGTTCGCTAACGACTACAACCTTAAAATTTTCAAAAAATTTTTTAAATCCCTTTCATGTACTCTTTTGAATGTAACTAGATGTAGAAGCTTGTAACCTTGTATACTATACTATACTAATTTGTGATCAAGAAGAGAGTGTTGGGCGCACGGACATGACCAAAAGGCGCCCCTTATTCTCTATATATATGTACATACATATATCTTCTCTATACTCTATATATATATATATATATATATGTATGTATGTATACATGTGGGTTATGAATTCTTGATTTTGACAAACGGCAAACATCCGCTCAAAATCCGTTAGCAAATGAAGTTATATATTTTTATATAAATGGATATCGAAAGGAATGAAACGTCAGCTTCAGTAATGCAAAATAAACCATACCACACAGACGTTAATGACACGATCCTCTATGTAAATGAGTAATAATGCTTGTTTGTAGATAATAATAATAATAATAATAATAATAACAATAAGAATAATAAAAAGTCATAGAACTGACCATAACAATGTTTATATAAAGCAACAAATGCAAATTCATTAAAATCTTAAGTAAAGATAATAAATACTTACACATACACCTACACCTAAATATGTATATATATGTATATAAGTAACGTTCATAACTAAAAAACTATTTTTATAGCAATCGACGACGTATGGCGTTACACTAAATTTATTTTTTTTCTTGTAACAACGGCGATCCATATGCACATATGTATATTTCTGGGATTTAGATCCTCTTTCAAGATTAGACGGCTGAGACACATCCCGAATGTTCTTAGCAATGATCGTAAGAACTCACACGCCTATAATTGACAAAATGTTTTTTTTTTTTTTTTTTTGATTTGAGTTCATGACTATTGGCCCGGGCCGGGGGGGGGGACCCTAGAGAATACAATATTCTTCTGGCTATAACGTGATATTGATAACTTGAGATTACGATGACACACGCAAACAATATTTCTTACCTAATCTACACCTATAAGAAACAGAGAAAGAGAGCGAGAAAGGGAGGGAAGAAGAAACCAGAGAACGTGCTTTACTCCCGAAATGAAAATTATTTCAAATTTTCAATACATTGTATGCAACAATGTTGTGATTATCTGTTCAAAATAAAACAAAACAAAAACAAAATCCCTCACAACACAACATACTGTCACACACGATGATGTCTATATTATATGCATATGCCTTTGCAATTAGTTATATAGAAAAAAAAAGTATATATATATATATATATATATATATATATTTATATATACTTTTATATGACTCTCAGAGTTCATTCTCACACACAATATACTTTAGTTATCAATTTACGGCAAAAAAATATATTTAAGAAAAAAAAATCTGCAAAGAAAAAACGCAACAACAAATAATAAATAAACACAAAAAAAAAAAGCGGAGCATTAGTCGTTGCATACAAATTAACACATGTGTGTGTGATTATGTGTTTGTGTGTGAGTTGTTCGGTAGTTAATCGGTGTGTATGCCTCATCAACATCATTTATCATGAACACAATACGTAAACAGCGTAACGCACACATGCTCACCTGTTGATTTTTCAAGTTTTATTGGTGTATGGCACCAAAAAAAAAAAAAAAACAAAAAAAAAAACGAAAAAAACCGACCTTTTCTCTCGCAAGTCTTTACTTTTTGTTTTTTTCTTCTGGCAACTTTTTAAAGCTTTTTGTAACTGTTTCTTTTCTTTCTGTTTTTGGCAGTGTTTTTCAATCACGTTTACAAATAATAATTAGACCCCTTTTTAACGTTCTATTTATAATAGCGATAGGAATAAATTTCAATTTCGCTATACATTTTAAAAAGCGTAAGTACGCGTCAAGCACTTGTTGGCCGACTTAAGAAAAAAAAAATAAATAAATATATAAATAAATAAGTAAATAAAGAGGCAAATTAATTAAATTGTTTTTTTTTTTTGCATACACTTGTACGGGCGCCCCCATATGATGATGATGATGATGATGATGATGATGATGAACTCTGCTTGTTTGACTGACTAACTGACTGATTGACTGACTCGGTTGCTTTCTTACGGCTGCCTCTATTTGATTAACACCATGCAATCGCGTATTGTTACGTTACTCACATAAATTTCGACTAATTATTGAAAATCTTTGAACACAACAAAAAAGCTTAAAAACACTTATTTTGCACAATTCTTGATTTTGTATTCCTTTTTATTTTTCTTTAACCTTTTTCGTGTTCAATTCGTTATTTCATTTTATTTTTTTCATTCATTCGTCTGTTATTACTTTGCACTGCCAAGAATTATTCTAAACGAGCGAAAGAATAAATCAATGAGTGAGTCAGTGAGTGAGTGAATGAGTGAATGAGTGAATAATTTATTATACGCTCAGTAGAGTGTGTTTGAGTAAAACGGAAAGCTTTTTTAAGCTTTTTTTTGTTTGTTATTTCTGAAACAATTCAATTCTTTTGGTATAAGAAATTCTTACAATAGTTGGTTCAGTTTCAAATTTCAGCAGAATATTGGAATGCAAACTCTCTTGGCGGCCGTGAGAGTAGACGTATGGGCGATAAACGGTAATAAAAATATTACGGCCTTGTGATAAATTTATTTCTGGTCCAAGATCAAGATCAGCTGCAAGTCTTAAGTAATACGTGAAGAGGTCAGGTAGACTACATAGACGAGAGAATTTGGGTATTTATTAGTCTGAAGTTGCGCTCTTCATATGCATCAAACGAATGAATCAAATAAATATACGCACGTAGTGCTTGTGCGTACATATCTATTTAAGTGTAGCTTTCCGCATTCGAAACGTTTAAGATCAACACTTGATTATCGAAACATGCCTATGGGGCTTAGCTGAGGTCGTCGCAAGTCTCTTAACATTTAATTACTATAAGGGATTTTATCTAAGAGAAGCTATAAGAAATTGTCCCAACATCATCCGCTCGCTTTGAATCACAGTAAGGCTCATTTTTGCGGTTGACTAAGTCATTTAAAGTCATGGGGATTAGAGGTGGGTAACACCATCGCAAAAGAATTACGTTGGCTTGTTCATAACAAAGGCATGAAATTCATATCAAGCGATCAGGGGCCAAAGAAGTATTGCCTTCAATTCTTTGGACGTAGAAGAAGCTTTTAAGCCGGTGAGGCAAACAAAAGCAATAACGCGAAAGTCTTCGTGGCAATCACGACAACACATCTGATCTAGCGAAGTAAATTTGATTTCTAACCACGCCGTACAGGCGCACCTGCAATGGCTATGTCGTGGGAATCACATTATCTATTATTCGAAGCATTTCCACGGCTTTCATCAAGATTTGATTTTTTTAGGTTTAAGAAGATTGCATCAAACCGACATTTTACTCGTTTCCCATAATACTTGGGAACCACAAGCGGACGCGGAAGAGAATTTTCCATGCCCTGTGGAAAATAATTTCAGAAGCGATCTTCTATATTCGCTGAAAATTCTATTCGAGATTGTTTTTTCATCGATCAGTTGCTGGAACAACATGAAGAGTTGAATAGTTTTACTTATATGCCATTAAAGAAAATCAAATCAGGGCTAAGAAGTTCATTCAGATGCCACAATATGCTAAAATGACGCGCAAAGAGGTTAAGAGGTTAAGACTACAAACTGTTTGAACATGATAAAATATATGAGTCTAGTGGGGCTAACGAAAGTAATCCTGGCCAGAATGTTTATAGAAAAGAATTTATAGAAGAGCAAGAAGGAATTGACCAAACAAAGGCTACCGAGTTTTTGAACAGCGTGATAAGTTGAAATTTTATGCTTGTTTTTCGAAATCCTTTCATTTTCTGTAGGATTAATGAAGACAATCTGAGAGTGGGAGGGGGAGATGTGAGGGGTGGTATTTACTGAAATAAAAGTGTTAAACAAAAAGTAAAATAAGGGAAAATTTATTGGAATTGTAGAGTTTTTGAACAACATAATATAGTATTGAAATCTTCGCTTCATTTCCGAAATTGTTTCATTCTTTGCAAGATTAATAAAAATGATCGTAGGCATGAGATCAGCTAACGTGAAATCGAGATTTACTGAAACAAATGTAGTGAATAGCAAGGGAGAATTTACTAAAGGCTACGAAGTTTTTGAGCAACGTGACATTGCGTCAATAAATTAGCTCCAGAACAAACGCATTGAAACAACATGAATATAGCGTAACGTTGGGATTCGGGACTTTTTAAAAAAGCGTGACGTACTGAAGTATTCAGATTCAGTCTGATGCGTCCAGCCGTTATATTAACGACTAAATTCTTCTTATTCTGCACCGGATTATTTGTAATACCATTCAATAAAAGTAACTGAGCTACTTGCTCGAATTTGACGGTATCAAAGGTTCGTGCGAGGCTCGGCACACGCTTTGCTTGCGTTTTTTTTTTTTCTTTACTCAAAAATCTTTGTGAAAAATCATATATTACAATTTTTAAAGGGCAAAGGCATAAAGTAAGTAGGGTATAAGATATGAAAAAATGAAATGAAACACTTACTGTCATTAACATTCACATTCATGTCCATAAGATGTAAATCTTCATCGTTTAAAATGGAATTAATGAAACCATCTGTTGTGTGATTCATATCTGATGTGGCATTCTATAACGTATAGTTGTGAGTGTGGAAAGGCAAAAAAAAAAAAAAAAAAATGTATTAAATAAAATTGAATTTATCAGAAAAATATGCATTTCATAGTATTTACCGAATAATACAACATATCGTGTTCCATTTTGTAAGCACCAACATTACTAACACCACCAACAGCGCCTACACCGCTAATATCGGCATCGTGTGTTGAGTTAGTCAAATGCATGCTGGACGAAACGGCCGAACCCAAATTGTGGCCGTAGTGCGGTTGAGCCGAACACAATTCACCCAACGAAGCATTCGGATGTAATACAGTTGCATGATGATGATGATGGGGATGCGGTGGTGGTGGCGGGGGCGGTGGTGGATATTGAGCGTGCTGCGTAGCACTCTGATACGAATAATGATGCGTAGGATAATGCGAATACGGTGACATCTCGGAAACGCCACCAACAACCCCCATAGGATTGAAAAGGCTGGCAATATCCTGCAAACGTTGCTCCACAGAAACACCACGACTAAGAGGCATACGACTCTTTTTCAAGTAAAAGAAGAAGAAAGCAAAATGAATAATTGTTAAACGACGGAAACAATATTTAAGAAGTCGGCTGATTAATTTATTTTACGGATTATTGTGTGTTTTTAGGATCGACAAGACTCTCTTTAAACTTGAACAAAACAATGAACTAAAAAAGAGTAAAAAAAAAAAGTTCATAAACAAGTGATCAATCAAGCAAATATACATCTTTTTTGTTATTATAAAAAATGAAATCAAAAAAAAAAAAAACAACAAAAAACAACAAAAAACCGGCAACACATACGAGTTCATACAAGTAAGTGATGAATGAAGAGAACCCGATTCAAGAAGAAACTTGTAACACCACAAGTACATTCATTATCCAAAAACAACCATAATAATAAGAATAATAATAATAATAATAACAGCAATAACAACACGAAGCATAATGAAAACAATCTGAAAACCTTAACAATAATGCATCAAATCTGACGATTTGGGTTTTAGTTTGAAAATCACGAGCGAACGTGATTTTGACTGTGATTTTCTGATTTTGACGCTTAAAAACAACAAAATCTCCTTTTGTCAAAACTGTTAGCAATCCAGCGAAGATCGATCGAAATTAAATTGAAATAAATTCCTTACCATATAAGAAAACAAGAAAGAACAAAAAAAAAAAAAAAAAAGGAACAACATTGACAAGTGCTTTGGCACCATGGGCTGGCCGTTTATGCGTTCGCTCGCTGGGCTCATTTAAAGGATTGCAGTTGAGTTACTGACTTGTTTCGATCTTTGTTCATATTTCTTTCTTTTTTTTTTTGCAGCAATCCCGTCACTTTTAGTGTAAATGCATGCGCACAAACCTACACATGCACCTTTATATGCAGATTTATTAATCGGTGGTAACTGAAGGTAAGTAAGGTGCCGTCACAGCTAAGAGAAGAAATGTGATTTTACGAAAAGCTTAAGAAACAAAAACAAAAAAAAAAAAACCACATCGTGTCGATTTGATCGACAGCTTTTTGAATGCTGTTAAAACGTTTCAATTGATATGTTTAGCTTGACTTTTTTTTTTTTTCTTCCTTTTTTGTTCCCTTCTTTCATAAAGTTTCTTAAAATGTTTAAATGTTTTCTTACGCAAAACATATTTCGCTTCATTTTTTTCTTTTACCTTAGGTTGCTGCCAGAGGTCACAGCGGTGGTATGAGAAATGCAAGACATTTATAAATGCCGATCGGTAGGAAGATCTCTTGTATAGAAAGTTTTAAAGTACGCTTTGTTGGATAGTTTTAAACAAAACAAAAAAACGGTTAGATTCGTGGTCAGAACACGCAGGGAGGTGAGAGCGAATGGGAAATAAGTAAACTTAAGCTTCATATAAAATAAAATTTAAATTTAAATTCTCGGGAAGACAACGGCAAATTAAAAAGTGTACAAAAGGCCACACCCACAACAATGGAATGGGAAATTCTGCTGCTGTTGTACAACTTTCCGATAAAACTGTAATACGTGAAGTCAGATCAGCCGCCCGAATTTTCTGAGACGCACAAATATATGCGAACGGTACATAGTGTCTCTGTGTAAGTGAAGTTCGTTTAACCCGAAAGTAATGCACCTTCGAATTTAAACTAAGAAAGAGCATATGCCAAGCACACCGTCTAAGCAGTCCAGAATGCTTACCTTACGGTTTTTCTTTTCTCAGCGAGCACTATAGCCCGATGCTAGCTAACTAATTGCTTATCTTATTTGGGTCCTTCCAGCAAAGTCTTTTATGCATTGTACAAAACAAGCTTCATTTAGTTGCTTAATCAGATTCTAAATAAAGCAGTCCCTGCGGGAGATAAGAGGTAGCTTTCTTCCTTCCTTTAAATATTAGGGGACGTTTTAGAAAAAGGCTTAATTGAGGACGTTCAAATATTTCAACGGTTCAAAAGTTCAATGCAGAGCAGAAGACATGCAGATTAAAATTTGAAACTTGAAACTTCAAACGCATATTTCTGCACGCCGCGCACTTCGAGTTGAGCATATTACAAGTACAGCACTTTTAATTTTGATGCGATTGCCTCGAAATTGTATTGTTGTGAACAGCGGTAGGATATTTGATATAAATCAATATTCCTAGATTTCGAGATGGCCGATTTTCGAAGGACTCTTAAAAAAAAAATTCTTAGATTCTGGCTCATATTTTCACTTTTCTTGCTTTACTATTGTGACCTGTAGAGTAAATGGAAGGAGAGCTTTTCCTAGAATTGCAGGAACTTATGCACTGAACAGATAAAAACCAACGGTTTTTTTTTTTATTACTTATCTATTATCCTTGTCAGAATTGTAAGTTTCATTCTAATTTGTTTTTTCTATTCTTGTAACACGATGGCTGTGAGAAAGAAGAGAAGAAAAGAAAGAGATAGGGACGGAAATGGCGGCAGCCTAGTAGATTTGTGCTCAATCGATAATGCCTTTACCGACTAAGCACGCGCCATACATGTGAATCCAAAGAAAACACTTTAGGTTTGAATGCGCGGGCACTGACTTCGTAGTCGCGGCTCTCAGCTACTCAGCTGCTCAGGCAGATGGCTTTAAGAAGAAAACAGAAGTTTTCGTCTCGGGTGGGCTGCCGATCGGTAATCCCCATCATTTCAAGTATATACGATAAATGTCGTAGAAATCTTCGTTGACCGTAAACGTGAGGTTACAGTCGTAATAGCTATTAGTGAATTTCTGACTGAAGTAACAGTTATGTGTGGACCGGGACAACTGTGGAGGAGGGGTCAAGTTTGTTTATTTGCGGAATGCAAGTAAGTTTGTCGAACTTTTAATTGTAATTCTTGCGACTTTGACAATTTCACACACCAGAACGTACAAATTGTCTGCTGACCGAATGTATATACGACGTATATATATGTTATCAATTTTGCTCGTTTCAAAATAATTCCCCTGGGATATAATAGATTTGTGGCAGTGCTTGCTCCAATGCTCGAAGCAGTCCTGGTATGCGCTTTTTGACATGTCCTTGAACTCTTTCAGCGATTCTGTTTTTATCTGCTTACTTGTGGCAAAAAACCGACCTTTCATGGATTTTTTCAGTTTTGGAGCAAGCAAAAGTCGTGGGGGACCAAACGCAATAACTACGTTAGCTGACGCACGGTTACGGTGTCGTTTTCGCCGAAAAAATTACGAACAAGCAATGGTGGGCTGGCGCGTTGTTGTGGAGCAACATCGGTTACGTTTTATGACCACAACATCCGCAAAAATTACATGGCGTGAGCCAGACGATGATAGGCCAGTAATCGTAGCAACCTCGCTAATATGTATTCAACGATTCCCCATAACTGTTTGCTTCACTGCTTCAACGGTTTCTTCGCAAGTCAGAAAACTGTGGACCATAAAAACTTTCTCATGACAGCCAACGTTCTCCTTCTACGAGATAGAAAAAAAGTACATTGCCGCTCCGCAGCATTTCCGCTTAGAGCATTTAGTTTGGCGCGACAATCTTCTAAAATATTTACTTCACATCTACCTCAAGAGCAGTTTTCAATATATTTCTTATATTGCCTTTATATTGACTTATTATTGAAATCAGTAATTAGTGATCGGTGGAGACGAGGTATTTTTTCCATAGATATTTAAAAATCATATTTTTGCCCTAAATTTATGTTAATCAACCTTAGCGTGATTGGCATTAGTCATGGAATTAATTGTTACTTTATTATTTATTATTATTATTCTGGATTCTTTAATAAAAAAAATTGCTTTGATCCTCAATAAGTAGTTGAAGGTCAGCGAGGAGAGAGCGTCTTCAGCATAAAGGAATCGCACGATTAGAAATGCAATATTGAAAAATCACCTTTTATGGAAGCATTATATACACACGTCTAGATATGTTTATTATGCCTCACTTGTTACTGTTATTAAACGTTTGGCGAAATTTTCTCAAGTCTCTATAAAATTTCGGGACTATTAAGCATTTAAAAAGTGCATTCTGGATACGTTAGTTCAATAAAATTGCATAACTAAGCTGTTTTTGTTAAAACACTTCCTTCTGCTGATTAAGTGCTTAATTCAATTCAAACACATTTATGTATAGTTAATATTGACATTTTTAAGATTTTCTTGATCACATTCATTGCAGTTTCATTTTCATTATAAACGCCAAACACACTTTAATAGCAATAATAACCGACGGTTTCAAAAATGCAACGAACCAAATGACGAATGTCTCTACGAAAAACTTTATAAAATGTATTTGAAAGTGTTTGAATCTACAACGATCACTGCACTAAGATCTCCGCGAAACAACTAAACACAACAGAAAATGTTTAAATGTTAGTAACAATCACAAAGAAATAATATAATAAGAAAATGTACAGAAAACATCATTTTTGATGAACACGAGACTGACAAATTATTAAACAACGTATTCTTCTTGTTATTGCGGATTTTGTGATGTGATGAACGTTCGTGTTCGTTGCATGTATGATGCGAGCCAAAAGGAAGAGCAGAAACGATAGATGAGGTATTTTTCGTATATCTACATGAACAGCGTAAAGTAAAAGATTAACACACACACGCACACGCAACCATCGTGAAGGGAGTGAAGCAAAAATGAAGCAAACAAGAGTCGACTCGCAAATGCCCAGTGCACAATGTAACAATAATATTAACAATAATGACAGGACTCACAGAGCATTATTTTAGTTGTTACGATCCTTTCAAGAAGCTATAAGTGTACCCAATGTACATACACATTCGCACGCGAGAAATCTGTCAGATATTAGAGCCATATCTGTCATCATATTCCCCTAGGGAGAATTTCAGGAGAAGAAGTCTAACACTGCCTCAGAAATTTTTATTGCAAAATTCTTAAAATAGCTCCAAAAACTATATTATACTTTGATTTTAAATCGGTGTATGACACAAGTTGTATTTTGTGTCTTAGTTACCCCGGGCGCCCCTTTCGGCCTCTTTAGATTCTTCATTTACTGAATGAAATACGCCGTTCTTCGTAGTCAAATTAAAAGCATTTCACGTCATATTATTACACACACACGCAGGCATACTATAGCTAGGAAAAAGAATATTGACCACCTAGTATATAACCAAGATATACCTTTATTCAGCGGCTTCCATGAGCAATAGGACCGACCTATTCTCTTCTAAACTTGATCCGTGAAGACAAACAAAGCTCCTGAGGACCGTTTATCAGGAGACGGATGGGCAGATGTATATAAATCAAAAACCTACTCATGCATCTCTACATAGATATGCTTTTTCTTGCTGTACTTATAGCCAAAATTGAAGTTTTTAGTTTATGAAACTTGAAGCCGTCGAAGACAAGGCAACACTATACACACGAACCACTGCTTATCAAAAATTCAACATGAGACAATTTTACCTGTCGCTTAGGTTCAGAGTGTTACAAATAAAACGGAAAAGTTAACACACCCAATCGAAGAGATTGCAAGACTCGTACGTATTATACACTTGCACTCAACCAAACGTTATGGCCGGGCAAGTGTTTGTTTGTGTTTGCTAAACTGCTTTACAAGACACTGTATATGTACATGTTTCGTTGGGCTGAATTACATCAGTGTTTGTTAAATGATGGCAATGGTAGCGATGGTAGTGGTAGTATTTGCTAACTGTGGCTAATGGTTGAAGGGAAAAGGAAAGCAAATAAACTTAAGGTGTTAGAATGAGAAATTGATTGTTAACACAAAACCCGGAAAGTGAAAAGATGGTCGTGGTCTGGCATAAAAAAGGAAAAAATATTTAGCACCGATCTACGACAAAATATTTTAAGTTTTGAGAAGAAGACAATCGAAGACCTTACACACACATATATGTACAAATAGATAGGGATTAAATGAAGCACTTGTCATCTTTACAATCACTTGACGTATTAGAGTTTTGCTCAATGTTTGCCTTGGGGAAAATTATCTAAAATCTTTCATTTCTTCATTCATGAATAGAATGAATTCATACAATTGTAATAACAGAATATTCCACACCCCGTCAGTGGGTTTAATTATTATGCTATTGTTAATGATTATTATTTATGCAATTGAACAATTTAAACGCATACATGCGCGCACACACACAGTTAAACTCAAGTACACGGCCGTATACCCGGTGCTGTGGCTTTACTGCAATCTGCCTCCAGTGTTGCATGCGTGCTTTGCATTCGATTTTTTTTTACTTTTGTCTTAATTCATATTATGTCATATGTGCATGTATTTACTTTGACATGTTTGAAAAAAAATTATAGATGTTTTTTCCCTTAATTATTGTGGAGTGTGCAAAGTTTTTTTTTGCCTCAATTTATTTATTTTTTTTTAAGTATAAACTTGAACTTGAATTTTTTACAAAAATTTTCCAATCGAAAAAAAGTAAATTGAAAACGTTTACGCCCACCTAAAGTTACGCCACGCTATCTATTCTACTTTGTTCTCCCCGTTACCCAAAAGTTGCTGTATATTCAGTCGGTTATTTCGTTTGCAATCATTAGATATAAATGTCAAAGTTTAGTTATGAGTAAGGCGATGGGCGTGAAAATACGTTACTGGAAAGTAATGTATATCCTATTTAAGCTGCTTTAACCACAATATAACAGGCTATGTTATGTTGTATTTTTGAAGGAAGATTACCTCCAACATATTCCTAGAGGCTTGGTCAACAGAAAATACAAAGAAATGACCATAGATTTCTCGTGTATTAACAATCGTGTTCCTATTGGATAAATGACACGTTTCATTCCATTCCTTTCATTCTCGACATGATTAAGTAAAAATTTCACATTAGCGAAAGATTCGGTTGATTTGGGCATGAATAGAGAGAGAGTAATGACTCTGAGGCGTAGCAAAGGTCGGAGAAAAGTTTCGCTCCTTTAATGGCTAATAGAAGAAATGATTTCCTGCCATTTCCCCTTTAGGCTAAATTTATAATAGAAGAGCTAATAAATATATCAAGTCATGTCTAAACCAATTTTGAGACATGTAGCAGCTACTAACCATGAATCTAAAATAGATAGCAGAACGACTAATATCGAAAAGTGCTGAACCAATTTTGAGAGCAACAAGTACAGATTGCCATTACCATGGATAAAAATGGAACTATAATCTAACATCTATTTCTAAATCAAAGCAGAGAGCTAGTCGTGATGAGCCCAAGGCAGGCAGGAAACAAGAATCACTGTTTATATAAAGACATTCGGAAAAAATCGAGGCATCCATCATCCACTCGACTTACACGATACTCTGTTGGCACAATAAGGACAATGTGAGCTGCTATGCGCCGCTTTTTTCCTCGATACTGAATTCGACCACAGACAGAATCTACGTAATAAACGTTTTTCATTTCGCTATGGCTGACCCTTTCGAAGAAATTAAGGTTAGCAAAAAAATAAAACAAAATTCTTATACGGATATGGTATCTGTGTTAAGAGATTAACAATGAAAAAGATAAAAAAAAAAAATTAACAAACAATGGTGTTTTGCTTTCCAGTGTAATTGTTACTAAATATTGCTACTGACTGACGATATGATGTGTGTACGCATTTAGTCTTATACGCAGTTAAGCTGCAAATGTCATGTAAATGGGTGTCATTAAGAAGTACCTGTCAAAGTCACGAAGCCGCATAATGATTTCTTGCGGTATTTCTGAAATCATTTTACACACATGCGCACGGGTAAAAATGCACACAATAAGTGCTAAAACAAAAAGCCAAATGCCTACACACACGCACACATACGCATACACACAGGCATTGAAACACACTAAAGCAAAGACAAAAGAAAACTAAGAAATAAAAAAAACAAAAAACAAAAGAGAAGAGAAACAAAGCAAACAGTCATAAAGTCAGTAGCCAACGCATAAGTAATTATCCATGGAAAGGAGAAAGAAAAGAATTCATAAAACGCGATCTATACCAGAAGGCGAAGAAAGACAAAAAACCTACGACAATAAGATCTCTAAAATATGCTACAAATGAACGCATATACATACACACATGGCTTAAAACAAAAAGAAAGATTAAGAGAAGCACTTGCTGTGCTGGCTATACCCGATGCCGGTGCCGATGCGGTTAGTATCACATGTTACGCTGGATGAATGCTTATGACGATGATGAAAATCCTTTCAAGTGAAATCCTGTTTAATGCATGGACGGCAAAATCACAAAATTTAAGGACAGAGAAGTCGTGGGAGATTAAACCGTTTGATCTCTAAAATGTTTAGCTGGAAAATCCTTTAATGATTGTTGATCTTTACCTTTTTTCATATTTTTCTTAGAAAGTAAGTTTTTCTTAAAAAAAAAAAAAAAAAAGATTCCGTTAACTGCAATGGCGAAAAAAGGTGAAGGATATTACTAGAGAAATGTATTTATTTGATATAAGCATAGGAAGGAAGCCAAGTTAAGCAAGCAAAGGCGCCAGCCATTCAAGCTCCAAAAGAATGTTTTTTTTTTTTTTTTTTTTGTTAATTTATCACAACCAACAATAAGTGTGACTGCAAAAAAAAATTCATTCATATTTTCTTAGCAGCAGAGCAAATGTGTAACGCTTAAGGCTATACTTAGGTTGGAATTTCCTTAAAGAACGTCAGGTATAATCTCACAGAGTTCACATGATTTTCGTCTGGCTTTCACAAGAGGAAGAACATTGGCATTTTTACTATAATTGTTTAACTTCCCTTTGCACCTGATGCAACGGTGGGCTGTGTTTTTGCTCGGCTGGTCGGTCGGTGCATTCATTCATTCATTCACTAAGTTCGTCTACCAGCCACTGTCTGTTAATGTGTTTGTGTGTAATTAAATCTCAATTTAGTTTTTTTTTTCCTTTTTTGCATTTAAAGAAAAACCCTTTAGATTACCCAGTACAGGCTGGCTTACGTTGCCGGTCATACGTAATCTGGTGTTTGGTTTTTATAATAATAATAATAATAATAATAATAATAAAGAAACAAAAAATTCATTTATATTTTATTTCATTCAATTTTTACTGCCAGTTTGTCCGTCTGTCCTTTCATCTCTTATTCCTATTTAAGAGGGAAACGTTACGTTTTTCTTTTCTTTTTTTTTTTTTTTTTTGTTTTCTACGTTATGTTGGTTGCAGTGTAATTTACGTTTTTATTAAACAGAAGAAACTTTTAATAATTAAACGTGTTTTTGTTTTTCTTGACGTTTTGCAGTTGTTGCTGTTTTCTGTTGTTTATTTTGCAACATTTAATGAAAGCGATTCAATTAATGTGTATATTAACACTAATGATTTTATTATTCACCGCACAGTACAGAGTGTATGATTAGTTTTTTATTTATTTTTTAATCTTTTTTTAAATAAAAAAAGCAAAAAAAACAACTAAATATAAATTATGAGAATTCCAGGAAAAAATGTATGAAAAGATTTATTATATATATATATTTTTTTTTCTCGCGCAGTAAATTAAATGTTGTATAGCAGCAAATTTGTAATTTGTTGTTTAATTATTTCGAAAGGGTTACGGCCGTCTTCAGAAACAGTAGCGCTTCCAAATGACAGGCAAAATCTAATTAGTTATTAATACATATGCGATGGATATATATTTGTAATATATGAATACACCTCTATTAACCGTCTCTAAGCGTTTGTTGAATACTTTTTAAACTTTATGCATGTTATAAGAATGTGTTGAGAAATTGATATTTTATCTGTGAAAGGAACCCTTCACACATTAGCCATTAGTGTTAAAAAGATTAGCAAGTCAAAGATGCGATTTCCTCTATTCATAGATAGCCTCAACAAAGCATTTGCCATTCTCGGTCCGCACCTCTTTTTTTCAATTTTCCGAAAAAATCTTCTAAATAATGCGCACGAGTCTAACGATGTGTTTGTCACGACAAATATGAGAATAAACGCAAGCTTTCCATTTGATTCCCTTGTTAGGCTATGAAGCTTCAACTGCTTAAACTTCTTTCTAAACACCCATGGTAAATGTTTGTGATATATAGTTGAATCGAGTACTGCTTATAGTTTTTACACTTTCTACTTTCAATACAATGTAATGGGCGGTGCATGCCCATTTTTAAATGAAATTTTTAAAGATACTCTTGTCTCAGTTTAATTTCCATATCAAGGGCTAGCGCTTGAATATTTTCATGACAGACGGAGAGACGGACCGACGGACGTGACTAGATCTATTAAGAAATTTTGAGTAAACAGGCAAGGCAAACGCATACAATGCTCAATGCAGAAACATTAAGGCGCAGCATTTTCACTCGTCACAAATGCTACCGCATCTACTACCTACTATAAGAATAAGAAGATTGTGGTCTTACTGCAACCAATTAATTGCTAGAAACGCAGGAACTTCTACTTTAAGGAAATTTGATTACATAGCAACAACCGCCGCCAATTTCTAACAACAGATTTGTGCCGAAAAACCTTTCACAGCTAAAATATAAAATCAATCTTAAAAAAGGAAAGATATACATACATCAATGCAATCAAACGTCGGAGCATAAATATGAAAAAATCGAGATCAATAAATTTAACTCGTAAACGTACCAAGTCGATGTAATATTTCATGATAAGAACGGCATTAAGTTTTGCTTAAGTAAAACAACAACATGCGTGGCGAATACGATAATTGGGAAAGAAAATATTTGAGGCATTGTTCACTGCACTGTTCAAGTATTGAGTACTGCTAAAGGCAACAACAACACAAAAGACTTGGGGGGGAGAAGCGATAAATGGCGTTTAAAGAAACGAATAAAGCAACAAATGTTTCTTAAAAAAAAGCTATAAGATCCGATCAAGATAAGAAGAAGAAGTACAAGGTTATTGTTTTCGATTTTTTTGTTTTTTTTTTATGGATTTATGGATACTTACTTGATGGTGACCATGATGGAAACCGCCCGTCGATGACGGTTGCCGATGGAATGCACTATTTACGCCGCCATAATTTTGTGATCCCGTCGTGCCAGTTGCACGATGGTGATGATGATGATGGTGGTGGTGATGTGGGTGATGAGCGTGCGGATGCGGATGGTGATGCGGTGCAAACGGTGCAGACGAATGTAACATCATATCCAGATCGGCTAGTTCCTCTTTTGCTTCGTCATCTAAATCAAACAATGGCGATGGCAATGAATCGACTTCAGACTGTGTTAGATCGTCGTCGTCGTCGTCGTCGTCGTCGCCGTCCTGTTCAACTTTGCCTTTGTTCTTAGTGCTTGCTTCACTTTCTGTTTTATTATTGTTGTTTTTCTTATCTTTTTGGCTGACTTCAATACTTTTTTCCTTTTTCACATCAACTTCACTTTTAATCGTTTTCAGTGTTGTTGTTGTTGTTGTTGTCGATTTAAACGCGGAATTATTATTGTTGCCGGTTAACTCATCACTATGCTGCTCAACATCTCTTTCAGATTTCAATTTTATAGAATTTTGATTATTAACGATGGCAGCGGCTGCAGCTGAAGTGCTGGCACCGTTGCTACTTTCGTTAATCTATATACAAAGAAAGAAAAATTATTAAACACAATAAATTCGAAGGTTTTTTCTAGACTAGCAAAAAAAAAATGAATAAATAAATAAATAATATATAATTGACTTACCTCACCGGTTTCTCCGGCCAATTCGGCAAATTGTATAACGTCGTTAAGTATCTCGTCCAAAGGCAATCGTATATATTCACCTGAAAAATAAAGAAAATTTAAAATTACTCGAGATGTATCTCGGTCCACGTTATAAAAGAGGAGCTGCTTATCGATTGCGTTGCGTAGACTTGATAAGAGGAGTTGGAATTGCAAGCAAAATAGAAGAGAACTACAAGGAACTGGATTAATATGCACTTGTTGATGTAGTTAGATCATCGCTAAAGAAAGTTTATCACGTTGGCAGAAATTTCGATTGAATCTGTAAACATCAAGAAATAGAATTCTGGTTTCCCTGGGAAGCCGGAAGGGAGGAGATGGTTTTAATAAAAAAATAGAAGCTTAAAGCTTTGAAAGTAAAACACATTCCAAACTTGGACAGGTACTTGCACTTTACTATAAAGCGAATCTTTCTCGAAACCCTTTTGTTAGTGGCAGGCATGTTCGCCTGTCTAATCTTGGACGATCTGACTTTGAAACAAATAAGTGATTTTTTGCTTTTTCTTAACTACTATGAGAACATTTATGGCCGAGAAGTGTCTTCTCTTTCCTAACCTGAGCAGAGATTCGCATGGCTTAATTCTTCCAACACCCTCAAAACACCTCTCAAAATTTCTACGATATTCAAAGTAAATCACATTCACCTGAAATCGAGTTCCTGACATCCAATCCTTCTTCTCTCTCTATTGCTTTGACTAACCTAAGCAGTCACACTCACACTCGTGCATATGCATACCTACCGTGTTATAATTATTGCTTTGTAATATAAAGACCAAATAAATCAAATTTATGACTTTTTTGCTTTATTCTCGCGTACTTGCATCTGCTGCATTATGCATAAGCAAAGCAAAGAGCAAGCAAAACATGATTATGTGCAAACGCGATTATGCGAACTATCGTTAGATTGTTAGTCTAATGGTAACTACTAGTTGATCTTAATCTAACGGGAATGCAAAGAAATCTAAAATCAAGTTTAATTTCCTAAATCAAGTGTAATTGTACACTCGCTAGTACTAGATATGCGCACAACTGGTCTCTTGACGTTGCGCGGACGCGTAGACTGTGAACATTTTATAAATTTCTCATCATTACTACGGCGAGAATAGAAAAAGTGAAATAAAGACAGACCTCAGGGGAGTGATCAATAAAAATATAATTCTTAAATATTTACAAACATTCAAACATATTTACAATAAATATATATTGATCGAAGAAGAATAGAGAATAATTACAATATTCTTCGCCGTCAGTTTATAAAGTATTAGGTTTGAGGAAAAGTTTTGCTTTCAGTTTTTTATGAAATGTAAATCATATTATCGAACGTTAACACAATATTTAATATGATTTCATGATTTTTATTAAGCAGACAACAACTGTCCTAGTGTTTAAGGCCGGGAGAGTCCTTAGGTAGGCGACTGGGAGCAATGCAAGCTTTCATGGCATCACTTTATTATAGTATGCAAACCGGGATACGATTACCTTCCGACTGCTAATATTAGCATAGCTTGTTATCAAAATATCCTTAATACACAATGGGACACATGTGTACACAGATCACTTGCGCTTACCTCAGGAAATTATAATACAATGCAATGCTAACAAGGTTTTCATCAATGGGACTTTAATATGCATATGCACAGGCCGCTTATCTCGGCTGGTAATAATGGATTGATTAGGGAAGACCCGCACTTTCCCTCATCCCTTTACAAATAAAGCAACTTTGCGTTTTGAGTAGTCGCTCCACTCTAGAATCTAGCAATCGAGTTTTTTGAGATAGCTTCGTATGATACCTAAAATATATACTGATGCTGAACATATCCTTATAAAGAGGCATGACTCGCTACATTGATCGCTTTCCCCGTATCATTCTTTCGCCGTTAAGCGAAACTTGGTAGTTGTCTTCGATTTCCAGAATAGTAGAGAACCTGAATTGGTCTTGCGTAGGCCTCGTAAATCTCGTAAAGTAGATCGTTGACGGCAGAAATTCCCTTTAACCTAACAATTCATAGATGTTTAGAGTAGATGTATAGAGTTTGTTTTAGCGTACAGTTGGGAGACAAAATCAAAGTGAGATAAAAAACAAAAAATCGAAACACCTTGAAATGCATCTAAATCTCTTGATAATTAAAGTTTGTATTTAAATTGTCGAAAACGAATATTTTCGAATGTAAGCGAAAGATGAAAAATCATTAATTATATAAAAATTATAACAGCAGAAAAACTAACAAATCATTAATCATAAAATTCTTTATGTTATTGTTCAGAAGAAGAAGAAACGTTTGCAGGAAGCAACTGTTGTTCTGTACACTGAGCTGCAGCTGAAAATTATGAATTCTTTTTAATTTAGATTTCAAAATAATATTCCGTTTTTTTTACTAAATTAAATTCTTCTCTCTCTTCTCAATTTTCTTTATAATAAAAATATTTTTATAAAAGAACAAAATCGTAAAAGCAAAAAAATAAATTAAGAGAGAGAACACAAAAAATGTATGTAAAGTAAATAGAAAATCTTGAAAAATTCTTAAGAATTTAACTAAACGAAATAGTGGGCGCTCTGCTACGACTATAACAGCAACAGCAACAGCAGCAGCAATAACGGAAAACATATACTGAAAACTTACACAGGAGGTGTATGAAGAAAAAAAAAAGGCTATCTGATCAAAACTAACTTGCTCCAGTAGAGTGCATAACAGCACTTGAGTTTGGGTCAAAATTTTAAATAAATAAAACAATATAAACAACATAAGGCCAAAAAGCAAACCATACGGACATGTTTACTTAAAGCGTTCAGGGCAATACTGCAGACATTAAAACACTAATACCGAGATAATTACACGTTCTGTTGTGTGGGTAAGAAAGAATTCACTCGGGCCATGTTTACTTTGGAGGTTTCCTTCGTTTCTTTTTTTTTTTTTTTTTTTTTGTTTTTTAACAATGTCGAGCTGTTTTTCTTTTTTTTTTTTCTTTCAGCTCTAAAAACGTAATTCGTCGTAAAAATAACAACTGGTTTTTTACGTTTACTTTTAATAATTGTTATAGTATTTGTACAATTAAAGGTATTTCAGCCACTTACAATTGCCATTCAAAGTACTGTACACACATTGCTTTGCCATCCACACACACACACACCCATCTACACACACACAGCACGTTTTCATTTATGCTTATGTTATTTTAGGCTTTGCCAACTCTACTTTGTTATTTTTTGATACCTTTTTATATATATATATATATATATATAACGTATAGTAATAAAAATACTTTTAATGCATAATGTCCATCCACATAAGGGTTTTGATATTATTGTTGGTCTTACGTACTCGTTGAATATTTGTCACCTGCAATTAAGGGCGTTCTTCACGTCTACACACTCGTTGATGTAGTAATTGTCTCTCCTGCGCCTTAGTTTAATATTTAATATTAGCGATCAAATAGGTATTTATATACTCAATATGTGACAAGTAAGGCACACTGTCGTTCCTATTGCAAGGGTACTAGGTTGGCAATTTTTTTTCATTGTGTGGGCTGGTCTTTCGTTAGGTCTTCTCCTCTCTGATATGTAAAATTATGTAAATAAATTTCAAAATAATGTAACAGTGACGTAATAGTTTTAGATAATATTTACTAACGTCGTCTCTTATCTCACATTGCGTTACTATGTTCGCCAAAGTTAACTTCAGAATCTAGAAAAACACGCCAGGATATATCTGACATTATTTATACGAAGAGGACGTTGGGGGGCCTGACAGAGGTCAGCCCTGTTTCAAACGTCAATGAATATTTGGCAGTTACGAAAATAATTGCCGCATTGTTCCTAACAATATCCTCCAGAATAATCCCGTTATTGTCAGCAAAATTTATCAGATCCAAATGGATAACTCAGTGAAGTCGGATATTCGGATAGTCGGAAACATTGCGAGCACACCCCTGGCATAATCAGCGAAGAGATAGTTTTTTAAAGCTTTGGGTAACCATTATAGCAGCTTTAGGGAGTCAGCCTTAAGTTGGTAGGATGAAATGCAGATGTAGGTTGAGTATAGACAAATCCATATCCTTATTATGGTGTCAGCCTTTCCCGACATCCCGAGCATTAGTTTACAAGTTGAATGAACTTGTTTCTTGCCGTAGACTTCTCATAATTCCAGTGGGCCGGTGCGTAATGTTATGTTCCTTCCGAAAAATAAATTTGACTAGTTTCACAGAAATTTACTATTTCACGTTTTATGACGTGTGAATACATTATAATTTTTATATTCTGACGCGCTTGTGGTACAAGGGCATATTAAATCTGTGCGGATGGAGGAAATGCCCAGAAGGACTTGTAATACAGTCACCTTTTAGTGTAACATTTTATATTATAATCACTTTCTCAATCGGCCTAAGCTTATCCCTCCTTATGTCCGTCATGCTTTCTTGCGATCAAAGTGCATAAGGCAGCAATTTTTGGGGCACTTTGATGAAGCTTGGTACACTTTCTCATAAAAAGTCTTAAAGTCGTTATATAAATAAATAAAGGATGACTTGGGGTATTTTATTTTAAAAATAAGGAATTTTTTAAAGCTATTAATTTCCTTCTGTGTCCGTACATCCGATCTTGCCGAAATTTTGTACACTCCCTTGCTTTTGATGACAAAGAAGTCAATTTTTTTTGTAACCGACGATCTTTCTCTTACCCCTTCATATAGTTATCAAATAAAAGGTTTTGGTGAGCAGAATGCGACAAGCTAAGTGCGCTAGTTCTAAATTAAACATGGCGAACGCCGCCATGTGATCAGTAGAAGTTTTTCTTAACAGTACCTAACACAAAAGTGTTTGGGGGATAGAATGCGTTTGAAAAAAAATTTACAAAAAAAAATGTTTTTTGGATTAAAAGACACCTTGAGGTGGCTTTACATTTCTTTACAAAAGCGTTAAGAAAGTTTGAAATGTCTTACACATTAAAATCTCAAGCGTTCCAACCTTTTGTATACATATTTTATGCACACTCTGTTTTAATGGAAATCACTCAAGGAATAAATTTATTTTCCATCCGTTTAGTTTA